TCACACTTCATTGTGAGGTTTTCTTCTCTCCACGCTACTCCTCTTCCTGCCTAGCCTCATCTACGCGTTCTTGTGGTTTCATTCACTAGTGATCTCTCCTGCCCTAATATTTCCTGTCTTTTCTAGAAGCAGCTCAAGAGCAACATTTACCAACCAACCACCGCGAGCTCCTGGGACATGGCACCCTGCTCATGGAGTCACTCCAAGCAGGAACCTAGAAGTTATCCTTGATTCTTCCTTGATTTTCCCTCAGTCCTCACAGGAGTCCCATTTCGTTCTTCTAATCCTGACTCCAAACTATCTCACTATCTTCACTTATCCCATACTGTGCCAGTATCTCCACTGATCCCATACTGTGCCAGTGCTCTCTTGAAAAGCCTCTTGCCTTGGAACATCTCTTTCCTTATGCAGAAATGGTACTCACTAGACACTGTTGAAAGTGCACTATAGAACTTGTAGATGGGAACAGGAAAGGAAAACGAGGAATGAGGGAAGGGGTGACATCCAAAAAGAAATCTATTCTTTACTGGACTTATGTGACTATAACTCCTTTGTATATCATCTTTATAATAACAATAATAAAATTAAATTCTAAAAAATCTCTCTGGGTGCCGGTGGCTCACGCTTGTAATCCTAGCTAGTCAGGAGGCTGAGATCTGAGGATGGCTGTTTGAAGTCAGCCTGAGCAGGAAAACCTGTGAGACTCTTATTTACAATAAACTACTCAAAAAAAGCAAGAAGTGGCACTGGGGCTCAAGGGGTAGAGTGCTAGCCTTGTGTACAAAGAGGCTCAGGGACAGCACCCAGGCCCTCAGTTCAAGCCCCTGGTCTGGCCAAAAAAAAAAAAAATTGCTTGCTGCCTTAGAATCTTTGTGGTGGTCCATGCCTGTAATCCCAGCTACTCAGGAGGCAGAGATAAGGAAAATTAAGGTCTATGGCCCACCCTGGCCAAAAATAGGAGGCCATATCTAAAAACTAACCCAAAGCAAAGGACTGGGAACATGACTGAAGGAATAAAGGACACACCTAGCAAGAGCAAACTCTTCCTGGAGCAGTAGCAGGGCTGCAACTTAGATCGTTGCCAAGTTCCTACTGATTTCTCTATCTCCTATCTTCCCCTTTCCCTTTTCTTATTGTAGTGATTGGTGCTGTCCCTTTTCTTATTATAGTGATACGGGTGCTGTCCCTCAGCTCTTCAGCTCAAGGCTAGTGCTCTACCATTTGAGCCATAGTGCCACTTCCGGCCTTTTCTTTTGATGTAGTGTTGAGGGCCTCCTGCATGCCAGGCAAGCACTCTGCCACTGAGCCACCTTCCCAGCCCTATAGCGATTATTATAAAGCTTTGGTGTTACTCATCGCACCACAGTGGCCCTGCATTGCCCTAGGGACAGAGTTCAGACGCCTTCATATAAGCCCTTGATGCTGCCTTCAGCCTCACACCGGATCTAGGCAAATAGAGGCTCCTTAGAGTTATGTCCAGAGCCCATGTTCTTCCAGGAGACCACTTGTTGTGCCGTTTGCCCAGGAGCACTGTGTGATCTCCAACACGCTCCTAACCTGCCTTCATGCGTCTTTGTGTGGGAGATGCTCTTTCCTGGGTACCCCCGCCCCACCCCGCAGTGCTCTCAAGCTCTCTGATCTCACACCACCTGCCATGATACACCACCACTGCGGCTCCTTCCCTCTTGTCCCAATGTTCTGCATTCCTTGATGCTGCCAAGTGGCATGGGCCCAGCCTCCACCTTGTTCGCTTGCAACTCTGCCACCCAGCACTGTGTGCAGTACTTAATTAACTGCAAAAGTTTCAAGGGAATAAATGTCCAAAACCTAGCTCCATCAATTCTCATCATCCCGAAGGCTGGAGGAGCGCTACTGGTTGTAGTGCAGACTGTGTCTACGATGTTCACAAGCTCTGAAAGTTTCTAGGCTGGTTGCAATTCAACAATCTGCTGACTTCTCTGTGAGTCCCTTCCTCTGGGGTGCGGGACTCGCAGAGAATAAACGTGCCTAGAAACTTCGACAGGAAAGAGAGCTTCGTCTAGTGGCAGCGTCTTCCTTGCTGATGAATCATTTTGAACACCTGGGAAGTTGGGCGATGACTCCTCAACTCTCATCCTGTTTAGGAAGAAAAAGACAGGTCCCTCAGTGTTTTAATACAGTGTCTTTCTTCAGGCTAGTTCCCTTGAAGCCCAGTGCCAGGCATGTGGTAAGCATTTGACAGTAAATATTTCTCTAAATAAATTAAAACTCAGATTAGATTCAAACTTCTTTTCCTCATACATTTTAAAAACAATGTTGATTTTCCTCATTTTTCATGGCTACAAATACTTTTACAAAACCATAACTTCTTGTCAAATTTCACATCATCTGTCATTATCAAAGCTCTCAGGTCCTTTCATACAAACTTATTTAAAACATTATAAGGATTTCATTAATGGATGCAAATTTAACAGTGCATCTTCAAACATACTTCTAAGATCTGTTTAAAAAAAAGTGAAAGTTACTATCTGTAAAAAAAGTGAGTTACTGGAAGTGGCGCTGTAGCTCAAGTGGTAGAGCGCTCGCCTTGAGCTGAAGAGCTGAGGGACAGCGCCCAGGCCCAGAGTTCAAGCCCCACGACCAACAAAAAAAAAAAAAAAGTGAGTTACTATATGTTCTTTGATTTTTTTTTTTCTTCTGAGACAGTAAGCATAACTATATACCATAAAGTTTCTATTGATGAATAGTACTACCCTAAAGGTGCAGTAAGGATACTTTTGCTACTATATAATATTGGAACAAATATACTCCCACAAAAAGGAAAAGTTATAGCAAGAGGTGATTATAATTTTTAAAAAGTGATTTCCACATTTAAAGGAGCAGTTCACTTGTCATCTCAGTTTATTCTGTTAAAAGTAGAAAAAAATGGATTAATGTTTCAGGAAAAAAAGTTGTTAAAAAGTGTGTGATAACATCATAAAAATACTCCTATTCATCACTCACTTGAGCTTTTTTAATATGGACATCATTTCTTGCCCAAACTTAAATTCTCTACAAGCCATCTTCTTTCTATTCTGAAGGAAAAACTCTGAGAGTGGCGTGAGTGAAAATTAGCTGTGTTGTGAAATGCGGATTCATCGTTTAAAGACTTCTGTAATTAAAACGGAGAGAGAGGAAAGTCCTTGGCCAACCTGGTAGTCCACATGCCATATGTTAAGAAGTCTAAAGACTCCTCGGTCTTATTATCACCATTTTTTATTTGAAAAAAGACGAACAAGTTCACAGCTATCTCATGCTTGAATGGCAGGTCAATGGGACAGCAAAGGCCTCTGGGTCGAGTACAAAGCAGTCACACACCCCTGATCTCGGAGTCTGGCTCTCCATACAGCCCCTGGTCAGCACACTCCTTCTACACAGTTGGCAGCAATCAGATACATATTTAATGTGGTTTCATTATATCCTGTAAATGCTGGCAATAGACTAATCTCCCCAGGGTATTCGGCGAAGAATAGAGAAGAGAAAATGATGAGCACATTTCGCACATGCACTCCCAACCTCGCGATAAAGGGCAGCTTTCCCTCATACAGCACCTGTTGTCATTGATGCTTTAATTACTTTTCATTGTAGGCAGCAGCCTGAAATATTTATCATCGAGCCTATAATTTTTCCAAACCCCACACCGATATCTAACTCCAGTGACTACGAGGATCCACATTTTACTAACTCCTTCCACTCCCATGTTTCATTTGCAACAAATATCAAAGTACTCAACAAAATGTCTTTCAGGGAAGCTGCCTTTGGGGCAAATGAATCCAATGGGAAGAGGATGGGGTGGACGATGTTGAAAAAGCAATGGTGTATGGCAGCCAGGCTTGACTGAAAAGGGGTGGAAATAATTTCATTCTTCAAGCTTTAAAGTTGTCTGGCCGGTTAGCTCAGTTGGTTAAAGCTTTGAAACAGTAATTGGCTGGAAGAAAAACAAAAAGTCAACTTAAAGGTTTTATACTAAGAACTTTTGGTCGATATTTCTATAACTAACACTCCCCACAAGTTTAATATAACATTAAATTTTATTTTTGTACCTGTCTGTAATGGATTATTTGTTATAAATCTCACACTCCTTAACTCTTTCTCCTCATCCTTTATTTCTCTCCTCCTCCTTCTCCTTTCTTCTCTCCCTCTTCCTCCTTTTCTTCCTCTATCTCCTCTTCCTCTTGGAGGTGTTAAAACCTTTTTTGTTAATAGATTTATTTAAAGTTAACAAATAGGGGCTGGAAAGGTGGCTCAGTGGTAGAGAGCTTGCCTTGCATGCATGAGGCCCTGGGTTCCATTCCTCAGCACCACATAAGCAGAAAAAGCCAGAAGTGGCATTGTAGCCCAAGTGGTAGAGTGCTAGCCTTGAGCTGAAGAGCTGAGGGACAGTGCCCAGGCCCAGAGTTCAGGCCCCACAACCGACAAAAAAAAAAAAAAAGATATAAAGTTAACAAATAATTTAACTATGTTAGTTTGATAGTGAAATATATTGTACTTTAAGGTAAACTTTTTCTGTTAAAGGTACAAATGGATTCTTATAATCATATTTATTGAATCAAATATATTTCCATAATATTACACTGCAAAGATGCTATGCAGACATAAACTCACTTAATCCTCATAACAAGACTATGATATGACATTGCACCTTTTAATTTCTCTATTTTATAAGAAATTCAAGTACAGAAAGATGAGTAATCTTTGCTCGGGTATTTTAGCCACACATCTGTGTTCTTAAGCTATGTATACTATAAGCTGATTTAATTGCATAGGAAGTTATTTGCTCTTTTTATTGTTCTCATTAAGTAGTTGTACAAAGTGGTTACAGTTCTATAGGACAGGTTATGAGTCCAATGTTTCTTGGTAAATGTCATCCCTCCCTTTGTTTTCCTTCATTTTCTTCCTCCTGTTGCTACCCACAAGTTACACAGTTTTGGGTTTTTTTTTGTATAAAATGTACTATGAATATTATGACTGCATTTACTCACAGAAATATGAAACACTTCATATATTTGCATATCATCTTTGCGCAGCAGCCATGCTAATCTTTTCTGAATCATTCCCCATTGAAAGTTCTTTATTAGTAGAAAAGTAAGTTTATATAAGCCTCATTAATTCAGTTTGAGAAAATCAGTTCCAATTCTTACAGTAAATTAGCAGTAATCCAAAATCAAAAATATATTTTATATTGCAACTCACTGTGGATATTTTATATATCTACATAGTCATTCAGCAACAAAACCAACACAAAAGAGTCACAAAGTAAGACTAGCCCTATTTCACTGTCTAAATTAAAAAATATTGTTCTAATGCTAAAATGCTGATTATGACCAAGTACTCTGTTTTCCCAATGTTATTTCCAAAATGAAATTTAAAACATTTCAGTTTCACTGCAAACAATAATAATAAAATTTGTGGAGAAAAGCCTTTATAAACCGGGCACTTGTGGCTCATGCCTGTCATCCTAACTACTCAGGTTGAGAGCTGAGTGTTGTGGTTTTCTGCCTGGGCAGGAAAGTCCCCATGAGACTTTCCTCTCCAATTAATCACTGAAAAACTAGAAGTGGCACTGTGGCTCAATTGGTAGGGCTGCTAGCCTTGAGTACAGAAAGGCTCAGAGATAGTGCCCAGGCTCTGGTTCAAGTCCCCTCCCCTCAAAAAAAGTTTTTACAAGTTATATCTGTTATCCCAGTGAGTTCTGTGGCACGGAAAGTCCTAAGTCTTTTGTATTCATGGAATTATTATTTGTAGAGTTTCTGGAAAGGTGAGAGTTTAACTCAGAGCATGAGCCTCAACGATAAATTGCATTAATAGAGTTACAAAAGCCAGTTTGACAAATAAGGTCCCCAGATAAGTAATGAATAAAACACAATATTTTTTTTTTCTTAGATAAAACCCAAAATGTACAGCTGGCAAGGTGGCTCCATAGTACAGTGTTTACCTCACCTGTGACCGCGGATTCAATCCCAACTCTTCTCCCCCTCACCCCCACTCCCCCACAAAATCCCAAATGGATACTCCTATGATACTGATGAGCGATTTCATGTTGTATTCCAGTTCATTCGATCACACACCTCTGTAGTACTTAATGTGTGGCCTTTAAAATTACCATGTTGATTTGTGTCTCATGAACAAAAAAATTTAAAAAAAAAAAAAGAAGGAAAGAACATGGAAAGTCACACACATTAGTTTTTATGGACCAGGCTTCTTCAATCAAAGAGTGGCACTTAAGACGGCATTAAGATATCAATTTGAGCCCAGTGCTGGTAACTCACATCTGCAATCCTAGCTTCTCAAGAGGCTGAGATGTGAGGATGGCAGTTTGAAGCCAATCCAGGCAGGAAAGGTCATGAGACTCTTATCTCCAAGTAACCACCAGAGAAATGGAAGTGGAGCTGTGGCTCAAAGTGGTAGAGCCCTAGCCTTAAGCAGAAAAGCTCAGGAACAGCACTGGGGCTCTGAGTTCAAGCCCCCTGACTGATGTAAAAAAAAAAAAAAAGACAATAGTTTATGGAACTTACCTTGTAGGGTTTGTACTCTAGCCCTAAGGTTGCATATATGGCTGATAATGGTGCTGTGTACCTATAGCTGGGATATACAAAGTTGCCTCTCTTGCTATGGCTACTAAAAATCTTTCACAGAACTCATGGTTCCTATCCTTTAGGCTTTATCTCAACTAGAGGACTTGTGGGAAAAGAGGATTCTTCCACAAGGGGCCATGGCAAGATCTTCTATGGTCATTCTGGAAATGCCAGTAGACCAATCCATGCCAAGAACAGAGCAACATACCTAAGAGCATTGAGAACCCCAGAGGGCTGATAAATATCAAGTATTCCTTGAGACTTCCATGCCAAGTGACAGCTTTGAGTAGGTATTCTGTCTCCTGCCAGAATACCAGGACGCAGATGGAAGTAACCAGTGTCCATTGGAATGAGAAAGCTGGAACAGGCTCTCTGACACCTCTTAGTACTTCCATGATCAGATGTATGCCCAAGTACCAGCCCTGATCCTCAGGGAACAGTAAACGCATGATTCGGAGCACTATAGAATGAAGAACTTGGTCAGCTGCGGCCCAGCCATCCAGGCTGCTGAAAGTGCCGTCTGTCTGAAAAAGAAAGGCATCCAGGATGGACAGCGGGAAAAGAAATCATTGAACAATCATTTCAATCGGGGCTGGGGGAAACTGCAAGAGATGAACAGGAGTTTGGTTTGCTGGGGTATTTCCTGGTCACAAATTTGATCTTTATTTTTTTCCTCCCAGGAAAGGATAGACTGTACCAGGTCCATTGACTGATGACCACACATCCACCAATTTGCCTTGATTTCCTAAAGGCAGACTAGCTGTAACAGCACCTTATGCATCATGAAGCCCATTGGCTTCTAGTTGTTACTGACAGTAAGTTTGGATACAGACTCAAGGCTACAGCAGCCTGGCCAGGCCTGTGGATCCTTTGGCTTTCCTAGTGATTGCTTTGCAAACACTGGGTGACACAATCACAGGACGAGGAAGTGAGTTCCCCATAACAAGTACTTTGTACCCTGAGAGACAGTGGGCCGAGAAGGATTTTCCTCTGTACATATGGAGTGTTCAGCTTTGCAACCACTTTATCATCTCTGGTGATAGCCAGGGGACAAAGCAATGCGTGGGTGTGTTAGGGTGTTGTAGCATCTGGTGGCCTCCCCTTGATCTTCTTTCCCCTTCCTTCCCATCTTTCCTTCCCTCTCTACTTTCTACTTCTTACCCTTGCCTTTCTTTTCCTCTCCTCCCTTCCACTTCCAGAATCAATCAGCCCCAAATCCATCGAACAAGAGATGTGTGGGTACTGGGTAGGAGAGAGAGGTTGGGGAGAAGGGGGTCCTATGGGGGCCCGGAGGAGAGAGTGATGGGCCAGAGTGGAGTGTTAGAGCCGAGTGAAGTGAGAACATCCCACGGACACACGCGAAGGCCATAGCAGCAACCTGGGCCCAATTCCACACAGGGAGAACAATCAGACACATTCAAGGTGGTGGGTACTCTAAGACACAGAGAGAGGAGGGAGAGGGAGAGGGAGAGAAAACTGATTAAACCCTATGTATTGGACTGAAGCTGATCTGAATCATGATCAAATCATGATTCTGGCTCTTTAGAGAGAAGTAAATGTCCATGAGAGCATGTGTGTGTACCAGCGCACGTAGCTGTGATGGGAGGGATGCATTCTCTTGCTGAGAGATCCTAGATTTGAAATTATCCGGTCAATACACACACCGAAGGCCTAAACACGAAGAGCCAATGTTCCTGCATTCTTTTTTTTTTTTTCTTGTCAGTCGTGGAGCTTGAACTCAGGGCGTGGATGCTGGCCCTAACCTCTTTCACTCTACCACTTGAGCCACAGCTCCACTTCTGGTTTTCTGGTGATTCATTGGAGATAACAGTCTCAAGGACTTTCCTTGCCTGGGCTGGCTTTGAACCAAGATCCACAGATCTCAGTCCCCTGAGTAGCTAGGATTACAGATGTGAGCCACCTGTACCTGGCAGTTCCTGCATTCTTCATAAATGTAAATGTTTGCCTGGAGAGATGAGATCTAGACTTTCATTACTGTCTAATTCAAAGTCTCACTGGACATTGCTGAGTCAGTCACCTTTTCATACTGTCATGGTGATGCCCCGGGTCAAAGGAAGCACAGGACCTCTGCCTTTGTCTACAGGAAGCTGGCCACCAGACCAGACACCTTAAGACAGCCATGCTGTGAGGAAGCCCACGCTTGCTGAAGAGAAGTCCCTGTGGAGAGAGTAACAGCCATCCCACTTTTCCTAGCCTAGAGCAGGGCAAGCAAATAAACAGTCTGTCCAACATGCCCTAATCCATGTCTAGCTGCAAACACATAAGACTTCCTCAAAGACACACCAGTGACTTACAGAACTATGAAGCGAAACATGTTGTTTGAAGGCATCAATTTTGGAAGTCTGTATGCATTGTCCAATACTTGGATTACTTGGTAAAACATATGCATCACCCAGCATGGTAGATAAACGCCTTGAAGATACAGGAGATGGTAACCTCAGAGTTTCTGACAAGCCACTAGACTGGGAAATCAAATGATAGTCAATGAAAGGCATGGCAAGTTTCTGCTTTACAGAATAACAATTAGGCCAGGTGCAGGTGGCTCATGCCTGTGATCCTAACTACTCAGAAGCCTACGATCTGAAGATTGTGATTTGAAGCCAACCAGAGCAAGAAAATCCATGAGATTCCTAGCTCCAATTAATGAACACAATGCCAAAAGTGGAGCCATGGCTGAAGTGGTAGAGCAAGAAAGCTTCGAGTAAGAAAGATCAGAGATAGTTCCCTGGCCCTGAGATCCAGCCCCAGAAACAGCACTGGTAAGCCAAGAATAGTAGCACAGGCCTGTAATTCTAGCACTTGGAATACTGAGGCAGGGGGAGTTCAAGAACAGGCTGAGGCATCTCAAAAACAAAATCAAGAGCTACAGAGGGCTTTGTGATAGTGTCCACCAGGACTAGCATGAAAAATGCCTTAGAGTTGACCCTAACATTGCAAAATGGCCTGGGCAAGGGGAAGGGAGGGGTGGAGAGAGGACACTACATTTTGTGGCAATATATATAAAGATTGAGTTGATCCGGGTGCTGGTGACTCATACCTGTAATCCTAGCTACTCAGGAGGCTGAGATCTGAGGATCGAGGTTCAAAGCCAGCCCGGGCAGAAAATTCTATGAGACTATTACCTCCAATAGGCCACTCAGAAAACCTGAAATAGCACTGTGGCTCAAGTGGTAGAGTGCTCACCTTCAGCTGAAGAGCTAAGGGACAGTGCCCAGGCCCAGAGTTCAAGCTCCACGACCGATAAAAAAAATAAAAGTAAATAAAAAATAAAAATAAAGATTGAGCTGACTTTCTGATCCATTTATCAAATAGCCCATAAGCTTCTAGGCTGACTAGAGCCAAAGCCAAAAAGATAGCTGAGGATAATAATCTTGAATATATCCTGGCTACAATGCATAGGGCATCTGCTAGGGCATTTGGTAATGCATGAAATGTCTGCCATAATCAGATTGCTGTGGAAATCGTTCAAGGCTTGATTCAAGTATCTCAG